GGTTCGTCTCTCTCTCTCTCTCTCTCTCTCTCTCTCTCTCTCTCTCTCTCTCTTTCTTTCTTTCTTTTTTGATGGTGGTTTGGTTTGGGATTATGTGGCCCATAGTTTCCTGATTGATTGAAAAGAATGTCCATGACTGCTAGCGACCACCTTCTATAAAGTAAATTTTGTAATTTGTGCCTAGTATGTGAGTATATTTTTTGTGTGAAAACAGTTTTGTGCAGCTCTTAGGGTATCAAACACAATTTTAAATTGGGAATTCTTTTCTACCTGTTGATCTCCTTTAATGGTCATTCTTTGAATGGATTTGGTGGAATATATGTTAGGTTTTGGATGAGGCAGATACCATGTTCGATCGTGGTTTTGGTCCTGAAATTCGTAAGTTTCTTGGACCTTTGAGAAGCCGTGCATCAAAGCCTAATGATTCAGGGTTTCAAACTTTGATGGTCACTGCAACCATTACAAAGGTGTGCTCACTTACTCTTCAATGGAATGTAAACATAAACATATGATGCCACTAATGGAAGTTTTTTGGGTCATTTGGAATCATATATAATTTTGTTTAGTAAATTATTATGTAGTCTCCATTCTAAATTCCAAAAGCAATTATGGCTTGATGAGATCTTTCTTGCCTTCTAGACAGCTGCAATTACTACTACTTCAGTGACCCATCAATAGGGAACCAAACTCTATAAGAAAGTAGGTTCATGCCACTGAAATCTACCATTTCTTACATAGAATTTTACGCATTTTGGATCTGTATGACGTTCTTTGGGACATTAGAACAATGCATAACTTACAGTTTATGCAAGAAGTTACATTTCCCCCTACATTTTGTGAACAACAAATTATACTTCTTTACACTATTACAGACTCCTTGCTAAGCCAAGTGTTAGGTACATGCGTGCTTAGCTTTCTTATGATGTCCCTATCTGACTGGCAAACACGCATGTGCTCTCGCGCATGCAGAGAGAGAGAAGCAGACAATGTAGGCCCGTCATACATATGAAAACGATAGACAGAAAGAGAGAGAGAGAGAGAAGCAGACCCTGTAGGCCCATAGTACATATGAAAACGATGGAGGAAGGGGGATCTTATAGTTTTGGTCATGAATGGAAGATAGTGTTTTATGAAAATTTAATGGAAGAGATAGTATTTATTTTGTTTGCTCTGACTGTAAAAAGCATTGCAGGCAGTGCAGAAGCTGATTGACGAGGAATTTCAAGGGATAGTACATGTCCGAACTTCAACATTACACAAGAAGATTGCATCTGCCCGACATGATTTTATCAAGCTATCTGGTGCTGAAAATAAGCTTGAAGCACTTCTGCAGGTTGGTTTTACATTCAAAACTCTATTTATAGTGATGATTCTAAGAAACTCTCAAGTGCTTGACATTAAAAATTTGATCCTCTTTCCTCAATATGGTGAGTTGTGTCATTTTGAGAAAATTGCAATTAGCTTTAGGACTAGATAAATGGCACTATTTGTCTTGTGTTTCATATACTATCTGCCAATTGCCCCAGTGGTTCCCTCCCTCCTTCCCTTTTCTCCCTTCCCAGTTTATTACATTGTTGTCAATTCAAGTCCATACTGATTAAATGTATTATGGAATTCATGCAACTAGGTTGATTGTGTGATTAGGTTCTTGAGCCAAGCCTTGCAAAGGGAAACCGCGTGATGGTTTTCTGCAACACCCTCAACTCTAGCCGTGCAGTGGACCATTTCCTTGGCGAAAATCAAATCTCTACTGTCAATTACCATGGGGAGGTCCCAGCCGAACAGAGGTGAGCTACTATCAATTACCTTGGGCTAACTAGTGCAACTCATTTCAATTGTGATTTCATGAAGAGTAGCCAAATTGTACCCACCGAGAAAGGATTACCAAAACTATATTTTTATTGGCTAAATTGCCCTTATTAGAGTTCTTCAGAATTTGCGACTCTTCCTGGGCAGTGAGGCCTTTCATATTGTTTATTCAGCAAGCTCTTCCTTTCTTTTCCAATACAAATTGGCCGACCTGCATTTCTATCCTGGAGAAAGGCAACCTTGCATTCCCACAAAACCTAATTTTTTATCTTGGAAAATTTAGAAGCATGATTCTATATTCTTTTATTATCCTTAACTACTTATATTTTTTGGTTCAATAATTGACCTGATCTCATGATGACTATGTTTTGAGCATGAATCTTGTTAGTGGGTTCATTTTTTATCTGTTTAATTATGATTCAGGGTTGAAAATCTCAAAAAATTTAAGAGCAATGATGGGGACTGCCCAACCTTGGTTTGCACTGATCTGGCTGCTCGAGGACTGGATTTGGATGTGGACCATGTCATCATGTTTGACTTCCCCTCAACTTCAGTATGCCCATTTGCTTACTGTTGATCCTCTATTTTTATTGCATGAGAGAGAGAGAGAGAGAGAGAGAGAGAGAGAGAGAGAGAGAGAGAGTCTACACTGCAGCAGTAGGAGAGAGAGAGTGTAGACGAGAAGAAGTAGGTACGTAAGTACACTAAGTGTGGTACGTAGAACGAACGAAGGTAACGT